ATAAAGAATTAGCCAATATGAGACAAGTTAAAAATATTCACCAGCTGTTCCCTAGTTGCTGAGGAGTTAAGTGCCCAGATTACTTCTTACCCTGTGAGAGCTCTAGCCACTGAGCTATGGGGTATTCTGGTGTGGGTTTCCCTCCATCTCTCCTGCTGAAACTGTTTTCCTGTGAGTATTCATGTATTTATATACAGTACCAGGGATTAGAAGCTGAGTCTCCCATCTTGCAGGTGAGTGCCCTAATTACTAGACCATAGAGTCATTTTCTTTTTGACCCAAGGACAATAAATGATTGTATACAAAGTGAAACAGCTTTGCTAAGAGAGACAGAGACCCGCACCCGAATACCCCATGGCCCAGGGTACTCACCTGGGAGGTGGGAGACCTAGATTCAAGTCCCTGATCTGACTCAGACAGATTTAGGAGTGGACCCCGCGTGCCCACATCCTGGGGGAGTACTCTGTCCACTGGGCTATTGGTACAAGGAGGAGGACCACCATCAGTTCCTCCAGCTGTGTTTTGGGGTGGAAGAGCCCAGCCCAGTAGCCACACTCCAAGGCGACCTCTGAGCAGAACTACTGGATCAGGTCTCTGCAGATGAGCTAGGCACGGGGGATGCCTAATTTGAGAACATACTGAGCTAGGTTTCAGGACTTAGGCAGCTCCTCCTTTTTCCCCTTTTAAAGATGGGCATTACATTAGTTCTTCTCCAGTCTTCTGGGACCTCTCCTGTCATCCATTTGTGAGCAAATATTTTTGCCAAATTATTATTGAGGGACTCTTAGGATCACAGTTACCCTTTAAAAAGCAGGTGATGGAGCAGATAATATGGGAGTCGATTCATAAAGAATTAAAAGGGAGTAATGTAATTAACACAAATCAACATGGGTTTATGGAAAATAGATCCTGTCAAAGTAGCTTGATATCATTTTTTTGATGCAGTTGCATGTTTGGTTGATAAATGTAATAGTGCTGGCATGATAAACCTCTGTAAGGCATTTGACTTGGTACCACATGATATTTTGATTAAAAAACTAAAACATAAAATTAACAAGGCACATATTAAATGGATTAAAAACAGGCTGATAGGTCTCAAAATGTAATCGTGAGTGGGTAATCAGCATTGAGCGGATGTATTTCCAACAGGATACCACAGGGATTGGTTCTTGGCTCCACTCTATTTAATATTTTATTAATGAACTAGAAAAAAACATAAAATCACCACTGATAAAGTTTGCAGATGACAAAAATTGGGGACTGGTAAATAATGACAAGGACAGGTCACTGATTCAGAGCAATCTGGGTTGCTTGGGAAACTGGGCACAAGCAAACAATATGTGTTTTAATACGGCAAAATGTAAAGTGTAGATCTAGGAACAAAGAATGTAGGCCGTAATTACAGGAAAGGAAGACTCTATCCAGGGAAGTAGTGACCCTGAAAAAGATTTGTGAGTCATGGTGGATAATCACCTGAATACAAATTCCCAGTGTGAAGCTGTGGTCAAAATGGGTAATATGATCCTGGGATGCACAGAATATTGAGTAGGAATACAGAGATTAATTTACCTCTGTATTCGGCACTGGGGTGGCTGCTGCTGGAATTCTGTGTCCAGTTCTGGTGTCCACAATTTGAGAAGGATGTTAATAAATTGGAGAGGGGCCAGAGAAGAGTCACAAGAACGATTAAAGGATTAAAAACATGCCTTTCAGTGATAGACTCAAGGAGCTCAATCTCTTTAGTTTAACAAAGAGAAGGTTAAGGGGTGACTGGATTACAGTTTATAAATACCTATTGGGTGGGGGAACAAATATTTAATAATGGACTCATCAGTCTATCAGAGAAAGATATAACATGAACCAATGGCTGGAAGTTGAAGCTACACCAGCGGTTCTCAACCTGCGGCCTGCATGCGGCCCTATTAGCACACAGCTGCGGACCAGTTCAATTGTGTGCTAAAGGCTGGCCCACATGCCGGGGTCCCAGGTTCCTGACTGCCCAGCATGGAGGGGTCTGGGCTGCCCTGTCACCCAGTGCAGCAGGGGCAGGGGTGGGGCTCCCGGCTGGCCCAGTGGGATCAGGGGCCTGGGGCAGCTGACTCTTTCATTTGATTGTTTATACTTTATTAACTTCTATCCTCTCCTCTTTACTAGGATATAGTAATAGATCCTCCCCTATGGGATATCTCTGTCCAAACTGGGTGCTCCTCCGCACCTGCCGGCTTTCCCCCACGCCTCAGTTTAAAAACTCCCCTACGACGTTTTAAATTTTACATGCCAGCAATCTGGTTCCATTTTGATTTAGGTGGAGCCCATCCTTCCTGTATAGGCTCCTCCTTTCCCAAAAGGTTCCCTGGTTCATAATAAACCTAAACTCCTCCTCCCTACACCATCGTCTCACCCACGCATTGAGAGCCTGAAATTCTGCCTGTCTAACTGGCCTTGTGTGTGGAACTGGAAGCATATCAAAGAATGCTACCATGGAGGTCCTGGACTTTAATCTCTTCCTTAGCAGCCTAATTTGGCCTCCAGATCCTCTCTCCTACCTCTCCTCATGTGTACCACAATCACCAACTCCTCTCCCCGAGATGAGGACTATGGCAATCTGAATAGAATAGCAGATACAGAGACCAAAATTAGAAAATCGCTAATTCAAATAGAGGAAGGGGGAACTTGCCTGTCTGCAATTTCTGGAGTGTTTAGACACTATGTTTCCAGGCACAATTCAAGATTTACAACACCCTAACTGTGGTAGGTGGTTGGTTTTTTTATGTTTGTTTGTCGTTTTTTTGTCTTTCAAGAGGAAAAAATGTAATAGTTCCAACACTGATCAAGGACACCTTTCCAAACAGGTACATGTTTAATGGTAAAACGTATGTTAATGCAAAGTTTTATGGCTGAGAATTTAAATGCACGACAACAATACAATTAAAACATAGAGTTCCCAGATGGTTATCCTTTGGCTTCTTTGCTCAGATGTAAAATGGTGAGATAGTGGCACACTCTATAGCACCGTTATGACAGACATTTGCCCATAGAACAGAAGTAGACACAAAAAGATCTGCAGATGATTAAAACTGGTGTAGCTCCATTGACTGCAGTGGTCTTTGGATGAGGGCCTTTACATATGAGGGATCTCCTTCAGCCCTGTAGAATCTGTGAGGTGAGTCAGTATCATTATTTCCCATATAATAGGGAAGGAGACTGAGGCATGGGGAGTGGTAGTAATATGCCCAAGATTAAAAAGCTAGTCAGTAGGATAGCCAGGGGGAGTAAAACATAGAAGTCCTAACCCTCAGAGCCCTGTTCTAAGCACTAGACCACGCTCCCCTCCTAATGATGGGAATTGATCCCAGGAATCTTGGTTCCCAACTCCCCATGCTCCGACCACTAGACCATTCTCCAGATGTTCAGGGTGGTGAAGAAAGGGTATTGGTGCTTTGAGAGTGGCTGGGATGGGACAGGAGAAGCTGGGCATACATAATCTGTGACTGCTCACTGTGCAATTCCATTGAGCTAGTTATGACATCAGTGTGCCCCCTCCTCCCCCCAGTCCCTTCTGCACCAGCCTGACTTCTCTCAGGACTGGCTGGTTAATGCAGATTTCAGAGGTCAGCGTAGCTATGGCAAACAAGGCGACAGATGACTATGGCAGTAGATTCTGCCTAGGATGGCAGGGGCAGCCAGGCCAGACCTGGGTGGTGCTGTGACCCTGCATGCCAGGTTGCAATGCCACTCCCTCAGATTTGGCCTGGCTGCCCCGTGTCACGATGCTGAGGAGGCCAGGCCAAACCTGACTGATTGGCACTGTGATCTCACACTTGGTCCCCAAACTTCTACCATAACCACTGAACCATCAGAAGGCTCAATGTGCCCCTCCGCCCCAGAAAGGCAAACACAGCTCCCAGGGGATTAAGCCCCCTCCAGTTGAGATCTTCTCTTCTAGGAGGACAGAGGGGAGTGGCACACTGAAGTTTTGCCTAGGGCAGCAGATTGTTTTGAGCAGCCTCTGGCAGAGTGGGCATTAGAGCTGAGCCAGCCAAGAGTTCAAACCAAACCTTTTCTGTATTTTCCATGTCAAAACAAAAACCAAAATGACAAAACATGTAATTTGACCCAAAACAAAGTGGTTTTTTTTTAATTTTGCATAATTTTTCAGGTGTTTTACACACATTAAAGCATTAGCTAAATTTCAAAACAAATCCCCTTTTTGAAACAAAAAGTCTAAATATTTTGTTTTGACATTTCTGACCATTTTTTGGTCCAAAACAATGTGCAAAATTCTACCCAAATTCACAAATAGCTTCAGTGCCCTGAAAATGCATTTTTCGGCATACTTACTATTCATCAGCTGTAGTTGTTATATGTGAGACTATATGCAGGCAACTGAATCTGACAATTTGGCCACTGTGAATATGTTTTAACATTGTCTGATGTTTGTTAACTGCCTGGAGAACTAAACTGCATTGCATGTGCTCTTAAATCTGGTTGAAGAATATACAGAAACTTCTGCAGACAGCTTGGGCCTCCATGCTATAGTCTGTTTTTTTGTCAAATTATCTGACGAAATACTTCTTCATTTACAGTCTCACACAGCAGGAGGAAGATAAATATGCCTGAATCAACTAAGAATGGATTCTTTCCTCTCTGTTTTTCTTGCTAGATGGTGTAAATCAGGGGCAGGAATCACAGACTCCACAAGCCCCAAAGTTGGGGGTGAAAGTTGGTGTAAATCAGGAGCAGAAACGAGAGACTCAAGGAGCCCCAGCACCAGGGGAGAAGGATGGTTTAACTCTGGAGCAGGAATCAGCATCTCAGCAAGATTCAGAGCCAAGGGAGAGAGAATTCTGTACAGGTAGTGCCTCTTATAATGTGGCATTAACTGTCTATAACTTAACTTTGATCCTTTTAACCAATAACATATAATATTATTTGATTTACAATAACTTTCTCCTCTCTCAATTTCTCTTCTCGTACCACTAAGTGCCAATCCATGATGAAGAAGCATTTGATTTTTCTCCTCATTGGGTACTGTTCATTAGCTTAGGAATTAAAATTAAATAAAAACACGCCCTTTAAGTAATTTAGCACTGAAAAGTAGACCCTTTTTGCCCCCAATGATCACAGTAGCAGAATAGCACAGACTCTTCATACTTCCCATATAATTAATACTCAGTAGACTCTTGTTCCTGGGGTATATTTGAATATGTTTTTAGTATGAATGCTAGGTGTCCCCCCAATTATTCTTCATAATGAAAATTGTTCTTGCTAAGCAAAGACTGAAGGGTACAATAGCTTACTTTGGAGAATTCCACTGAGAATTTTCCTCTTCCAAAATGGCCACCCTCTTCCATTGTTCTCCAAGGGACTGAAGTCATAATTACATTCAGTTGTTGGCTATTTTGGATAGGTTTCTTTCTCTGTGTTCTCAAGAGGACTCAGTGCCTCCACCTCCTCACAACATAGGCTGACCACCATCTACACTGAAGGCAGCCGTGGCTTCAGTCTTATAGAGAAGAGTGGAAGATGATGGCCATTTTGGAAGGGG